TTTATTCGACAACTATTTATATTTTCAAGCTTCTAGAGTATAATAAATGATCAAGAAACAACAATCAGGCTTTTCAAGAACTCAAAACATAGTTAAAACTGTTTGTATCATAAAAAGTGGGCTCATTTGTGCACATGCGCAGATCGGACTGTAGATCACCTTTAATATATAAATATTAAACGTTTCCAATTACTGTTGATTTTGACAATTATTGCAATTTTTGATCGTCGCGACCTCAACCGCTACAAATTTCAACCGATCGTCGCGACGGCGCTACTGATTTCTGTAAAAGGTTGATTTTTGTTGCAGTGTATAGTTATTCTGTTGAACGCTAGGCGGTTTTCAAGTCATCTTAATGTATATAATTTCTCACATTTTATTCAATATTTTGTAAAGCCGTTAAAATATTTTGTAGTATATTTTTAGCGCGTGTTACTATATTTAGAGCGTGATGTCGTTTTTCAAGTGTACAACCGACTCGCATTTTACCAGCAGTGGCAAGCATTTACCCATGCGCACAACACAAAAACTTGTCAGACTTGTTTTACCGGTTGAGAATTTAATGTATTCGTCCGTGAATCTGGACGGCGGCTACATGAAACGATCGTTCGTTTGCTCGCAGTGGTTTTTCCTCAGCTCAGAAACCTGAAACCACTGCCAGCAGGGTAGTCGTTTAGTCTTAGAGATCAATCTAAAAAGCCGGTATCTAATTGGACTTCTTTTGGAGTGTCCACACGAGATTAACTACCGCTGTTAAGCGGGGGAGGGAGGGGATACCATGATAATAAGCAAGTAATTAGCTCGTTTGTGGAACGTGAACCGATCCGAGACAACCTTTTGAGGTGGGTGTAGTTTAAATCGATATCGTATGTGTCTCGGCTCGTTTATGGTTGTCCACCCCTGGCCCAATACGGCTCTGAATCGATTTCGGATCGATCCGTATGCTGAATACGTAAGTTAAATTTATTCATGCACTTCAAATAACTTCTATTTTCAGATGCAGAAGACAGCTGCGAAAATTACAAAAAATATCTTGTTGGTATCATAGTATTAGCAATCCTGCTAGTAGTGCTGCTCATTATCATTGCTTGTTTGGTTTGTCCAGCACTGAAAAATAAATGCAAAATCAAATCCGGCATTTTGTTTATAACACCTGATAACAATTGTGAAGGGATCATGTGCGAAGCAATGCCAATGGATAGCAGTGTGAAATATACAACTATGAAGGAATCCACCAACGACAACGATAAACTCGGGAATGAAAGTGAAACTAGATTTTGATGCTTAAATTAATTTGAAACTGTAACGGCGTAGTATTGTCTTAATCAATATAAGCACGCCTGTACTGGTGAATGTTGTTGTGTCATTTCAAATCTTTACTGTAACTTTGCTTTACTACATAGTCAAATAATCAGAAGCAGGAACGTTCCCTTGCTTCTCAAAACAGAAAGGACTTTGAAGGTTTATAGGTATAGTATTGAACAATATAACGACTTTGTCAATAGGCAATTCCAGCTTTTAGTTTATGCCTGCAGGGGATGATGGGAAGTAAGGTATCATATTGCTGATTATGCTGAAAAATTTAAATAAAAACTACCGAAGCAACCGAAATATTTCAATATTTACAAGTATAAGCTATCACTCCGTGTTTACACGGCCACCATTTTTATTTTTTCAGCATAATCAGCAATGTGATAACTTACTTCCCACCGTCCCCTGCACGCATAAACTAAAAGCTGGAATTGCCTATTGTACTTATTATGTATAATACTTTAATTAAACACAGGGCAATATTAGACGTATAAAAATAAATTTGAAAAAAAAAAACATTCTACGCATAAGCTGTATAGTGCATCATGAAGTTTTTCCCTTTGTTTACAGAGTGGAAGTCAAACCGCGGAACTCCCTGCCGGAACCGAAACGGAGTTTATTTAACGGTTTATTATTACATGTTATTTTTGTCAATTGTCAACCTTAAAAAGTTGGAATATATGTCAATGGTAGCATGTCTATGTAATTAATAATTTAATATGATGTCAGTAATATCTGTTTAATATTTGGTCAATGTTCGTCAGTAAATGAACTTCATATGAAAAAAGATCCTTATGAAGGAAGACAGGGACCTGGGTTCCGATGTTACTGCGGGCACTGTCCTCCCAAAGAGTGTCTCTCCCGGACAGAATCCAGTAGCGGATTGTGTCCCCTTTCGTGTATTCTGCCCCCCCCCTATACGATTACGTTCATAGAATGAGACGTTTTACGAAAGAGGTGTGGACAACGCTTTTTTTAGTTTACCGTAACATTGGTTTCTTAAGTTGGGATGCTTCTAATTCAAACCAATTATTTTTACAACAGGGGCATTTTAATTTATTCAATCCGTTTTATTACTGCATTAACCTACTGTTATTAAAAACAAATTAAGTCAAAGGAATTTGCTCTCTTGCAAATCAGTTGCGTATACTTTATACAGTTAAAAATGTCAGTATGAAAGGGAGTTTGTATCTGGAAATTGTCTCCCTTGTGTATTCTGTCTCCCTCGGTTTGGTTAATGTATTTTTCCTTTGGAGAATGGACGACTTACGCTTTAGAAAAATTTTTAATCTGGGAATAACAAAGGATATTTTCTGAAAGAAGTTATCAAAATTAGAAAAACTGCAAAGTTTGGTTGCGAAATGTTGTAAAATACGGAAAATATAGCCCTGCGAAGTTGGCAAATTTGTGTACATTTCTATTACGTGCAGAAATTGGTAACTAATTTTGTTACCAATTCACGCACGTAATACAAAAGTATACAAATTGCCAAATTTGAAGGGCTATATTTTCCGTATTTTACAACATTTCGCAACCAAACTTTGTAATATTACTAATTCCAAGACGCTCTTTCCAGCTGTGGTGATAGATTTCGTTGTTCTTACTTAGATTAAAATTTAGTCTAAAGCGCAAGTCGTTGATTAGTAAGGAGAACGAGTGGTTTTACGAACCTGCGGTGTGGACGCTGATTTTTAAGCTTTTGGTAATATTGCTTTTTTCGGTGAGCCCTATTCATTTAACAATTATTCACCGAAGGCGAGGTGATTATCGGTGAATAAAAACAGAGACGAAGTCGAGCTTCTTATTCACGATAATCACCGAGCCTGAGATGAATAATTGTTTTAGTATAATTTCATAGGTGATTATTTGAAAAAAATATTAAAATACACATTTCTTCGTCATTTAATTGACAAAACTGCTTCGGCCGCCATTTTGAAAATCGCTTAGGTGATTATCGCGTTATAATCACCTCAATGGCAACCAATCGGCGTGGAGAATTTTCAATAATCACCTATGTAATTATACTAAAAACACTTAGCTGGATAATTTTCAATTTCATTCAACGTTTCTCCCAGACTACAGTTCTTAGAAGAACTATAGGATTGTTATTCGCTTGAACGGCATTAGAGACCTTACGATTTAGGACGGCAGCGGCTACCAATACAATAAATCATTGAAAAGAATTGAATAATTACAATATATGAATAATTTAGACATTGTCGTCGCTTTGTTTACAACGCCAAATCACAGATTTTCACGTCTTGATACAACGGCTGCATCCCAAGCCAACGGCTGCATCCCATTTCCCAACCATAAAACCCATGTTTTCAACTTCTAAGACTGTATTAAATTCATACGATTGATAACATACCACGGATTATCTTTACTACCATTTTTGTTGCATGCCCATATATGGGCATGCAACTTTCATATTGCTCTAAATTTCGTGTCGAGTGCGTTGTACCAGCGGTGGTAAATCACGTGATAGATTCGCAAAATACGACAAATACAGAGTGTTCCCGACGAGTGTTTACGAGCACAATAAGCATAATTAATAGTATATAAATTTCGAATCATGTGAACAACTGATCATGTGATGTGAACACTCAACGTTTTCGCCGAGCAAACGCAAGGAAAGTTTTAAACTGTAATTGTTCGCCGAAAATTTACATAATCGATCGCCTCAGACGACTTAAGGTCCAGACACACCGGACGCGATTCGACAACGCGACGAGATTTTTCGATTTTCACTGACCGATAACTTACATCCTAGTTTAAATTTTCCAAAATTTTAGAAGCGCTATAACATTTTGAGTTATTTGTTCTATATATCTTTTAAAATTTGCTTTCATTGGCTGTTTTATTAACTTCCAAAAACTAAAAAATCGCGTCGCGTTGTCGAATCGCGTCCGGTGTGTCTGGACCTTCAAGGTCTTGTTTATATTACCGTCGCTTGCAACTAACGATGAACAGTCGCTCATAAAAACATTGCCTATTCGCGTGATAATCTTAAGTTTTCTTATTTTGACATAATAGCTATTTTTCAATAAATATATTGATATTAAACTTATTGAATCAATATTTTAAGTTTCAGGTCAGTTGTACAAAAGTTATAAGCGGTAGCGCATCATAACCACGGCACAGAATGGGTCATACAGAAGCCCAATTTCTTGGTTTTTCCTATGATTTTCCAATGATTTTGGCGTGACCGTAATTCGTCATCAAAATGCTGATGCCATGGTCCTGGCTCTGGTCCTGGCTGGTGCGCTTTTGGGAGGCATTCACCCCCTGATAATATTCAAAATGACGGACGTCCAGGGGGGAATGCTTCTTGGGCGCGCACTGGCGGGACCTGGCAGCGGTTGCTCGAATCGACCTTCTGTGCGTCTTTGTTCTGTGCCAGGGGGGTGACTGCCTCTGTTTACGGTACTTGCCGAGTGACGAATCATGACGAATAGCACTTACGCAGAAAACAATGGAGATGGATTTCTGTATAGTATTCTGAGTCATGAGGTTTCATGGTTTTGATGGCATGCAACGTGTACGCACTGCGTACCTATTTTTAATATTTGAAGGAGTTTGTTTTGGCCGTCGTCGTCGCTTTGCCCCCCTAACATTGTAAGGTCTCTATTATCAGTTTATGATCAGCGATTGAAATGAATATAACTGGTTCGCTACCTCCAACCGTAAATTTGAAGCCAAACTTGAAGACCAGTCCCAGTCTTTTCATGCATGTAAGGAGCGCGGTCAATCCGTCAACGACGAATATGTATTGTTGAAAACCGGCTTAAAATTTACTTCAAAACATTAAAATTAGCCACTAACGCATTTACCAGGTAAAACGTCCTAGTAAAGTTTACTTTGAGTTTTTTTCTAATAATTTTTTATTGAAATAGTGTGCCGGTGTCCCAATAATTTCGCAGTGTGCCGGTGTCCCAGTAATTTCGCCCTCCCCGTTCAATTTCGTCCCCCAGGGGGCGAATTTCGTGTAATATCGCCCTCCCGGGGGCAAAATTCCTAGGAACTTCGCCCCCCTTTAGAAACTTCACCTTTCCTTTAGGATTTTCGTCCTCCGTTAAAAATTTCTTCCTTCATAACAGACAACAGTTGCATGGGATAATTATTACATGGCTTTAGTCATTTGAAATCAGTATCAATTCAAAATTGTTAAGAATACAAATTTACAATCACATGTATCGAAAGGGCTTACAGTAGATCAATAGGACTTATGACGCTTCACAGCACTCCATGCATATTTTGCATTTTCAGTGTTAATCCTGAACTCATTGACAATGTTAAAAAGTACTCATGGTTATTGTAATTATTGGTATTGTCAAAACTGTTTTTTAACTGACACATGGATAAACTAGGCCTGTATGTTTTTTTTTATAATCAAACCGTTTAATTTCATTATAAAGAGCACTAAAAATCTACTAGTCTCTACCGATGCAGTATTCACAAAATTATTCATTGACATTGATTGAAAATAATTGAATTGGTTAGGTAATTCTTATATATAGATCGTGTTTACGGTATTTAGTAGCTATACTATACAACCACATCAGCTAAGGCTAAACTATAAATTTACTATCGTGTTTATAAAAGAAATACGTTTAGTTTCATTGTTATTATTTACAGTAGTCAGTAACACATTTGCCAAAATTTGAACTTGGTTGCCTTCGCCTCAGCGTGTTGTTCTATTCCTATGATTCAAAATTCGGCCCCCTTTTGAGAGGGGGGCAATTCTGGGGGGGGGGGCGAAATTCCTGTGACAGGGAGAGAATCACGAGACACAAATACGCGTGTCTTAACCGTCAGATTTGGCTTCAATAAAAAATAGGCAGTTTATCTGAAGGTAGCGTTCCAATCATATTCATCTCAATGTGGTCAGCTCCTCGTACAGCGGTCAAGTTACGTACTGGCCAGGGAACAAATGTGCTGATTTATATGCTAAATTCTCCTGCTGTACTCGAGGATCGGTGCTTGGGCGCAAGAATGGTTTCACATCAAAATCACTTATATCATCTATATTCACACTTATGACCACATCCTGTAGGGCAATTGCGATATTTCTTGAACCAGTCTTTAATATGTCGTAGATGACCACCATGACCACATCCTTGGCACCAAGCTAATAGACCGCGCACCGTCGTATTACTATTAATATAGAATAGAAACACGAGGGCAGTTACGAGGACAATAACGTAGAAAGATTTTGCTAACATGTTCATCTCTTACTAAGCACGAAAATGTATGTTCATTCAATTGCTCGTTTTAGCTGCGGTTAACAACCGACGGTGCCACATGTAGGGCGCTTTCCATTAACACAGCCACACCGGTCAGAACGGTCAAATTGTGGAATGAAACACAAAACATTTGGGCTTAGGACCTATCTGACCGAAAATTTTAGACAACAATAGAATGAGGTCCATTTTCGCTAGATTGAAAAACATAGACCAGATCTTTCCATTGACACAGAGAAAAGAATTTGGGTCTGACCGGTCAGGCCATTAAATGGAAAGCGCCCGTAGTATAGCAAAAGTGATCCAATTTGGTAACAAGTAGGCACTCAATAAAGTAGCCAACTAAAAGTTAGTTAAACAGGAGGATAGTAAAAAGAAAACAGGTAATGGCAAACCTTCTCCATCAAAGGAGCAATGCAATAAAGTACCAAAAAGTATTCGTTGTTTCGAAGCTTCTATAGGAGCCTTTGTGAAAGAGGTAGGTGGCTCTATGGTACCCAAAGTGACGAGAGCGGCTCTCGGTGAAGATTTTAATCATATGGCATTTCCAGCCATTTTGGATAGTTGTTTTGGATATTTCGTTTTGGATATTTCGTCACATTATGTTTTAAAAGCATGTCTTTCCCTTGGCATTTCTGTGGTAAGGAAATAATTTCGGGAAACAACTGGCAGTTGTCTACGTTATAGGCGGCGAAATTCGCCGAGTGCCGGCTTCTTTTGGGAACCCTTCACTGGCACTAACATTTTCCAGTATACATACCATATAGAACAGGCCGGAGTAAGACTCTTGCACTTTGCACAACTCCAACCACATTTATCAAGCGCTAGTGGTTTCCTACATCCTGCATTACTACATATCGTGTGAAATGTGGTTGACATCTACAATATTGCAAGAAAAAACACACCTGTGTGACAAATTTAATGGTGTTTATATTTTTAAAGTACACGTACAGCGATCAGGAGTTGGGCATAACCACCGCACAAAAAAAGTTAGTCCCCCCCGCCGCTACATACAGGGTGAGTAAAAAAAAACTGATACCTTCGCGGCTAATTTGAATAACAAAGGTGTCAGTTTTTACTCACCCTGTATATCAGTATAAGTTCTAAACAAATGAGGGCTTGATAATCAACCCTAGCACTATGGTAGTTTGCTTAATGCTATGTGAAGAATGGGATCATCACTCATGCTTGAATGAATAACTTAACATTCACTGAATGCAATTTTAACAAAGTCAATCCGGTTAATTTAATTTTATAATTGGTTATTTTTGTGTTGAATGGAGGTTAAATCGTTCTTTCAAGCCATGAGTGACCCCATTCTTTACATAGCATTAAGCTAACTACCATGATACAGTAGGTCTAATAAGTGCTAGGTATGATCATAAGGGACTCATTTGTTTCGAACTTATGCTGATATATTTAGGGAGGAACTTTCTTTTCGTGCGATGATTATTTGTTATAATCATTCTAAGATGAAATGCAATATATTTTATTAGACAAAAACTTCATCTTCATCCTCTGTTTGGCTGTTAAAGTTACCGGAACACCGAGTAACAGTAAAAGTATTCTTGTGGAAAAAAAAGAAAACTGATTTGCATCGTCATTTCCAGTAACTTTAACAGCCAAAGAAGACGATGAATGTGAAGATTTTCTGTAAGAAAATATACTGCATTGCTGTATGTACACTTTAAATCATTTAGACTATCTAATGTCAACCAATTATCTTTTTGCATAGACCTAAAAATAATGTTGAAATAAATGGTGGGAAATTGTATATTCATTTGGGAACAACTGTAGTAAATAACAAAAATGGAACAGGCGCTATTTTTATTCGCTAGATTGATAATTTGTATTGATCTAATACAGTCCAAAGCTGGACCGAGTTATGATATACGCTCAACAATTGAACAAAGCAGGACGCGCAATAAAAAGCTATTTTATAAACTGAATCTATAGTGAAGTTGTAGGACCAAAATAAGCTTGGTTAAAAGTTGGATCACGTGCAGCACATGTCAGCAGTGGTACCATGGAACCATATATGTTTTATTTTGTACAACTGATCAAAAGTAGCTTCAAAACTTGCATGCTGCAATTAGGTGAGAAAATTTGAAATTGCAACTATGTGCATCAGTGTTCCTATTATGCGTTCTGTAGGATTACATGAAAACAAGCATCAGTCCTATAATGTAGGAGTGATTTAAACTGTAGCTATAGAAGCAAATGAATATCCAACAAAACCCATAACAAAAACCTGTGCATGCACGCAATATATACTACTTGCCTGATTGAGTTCCGTTAAAGCAGGCAGGTTTGAAATATTTATAATTTCAGCTGAAATGGTCCACATTTGCAAGCGGCTAAGTAAATCTGAAATGAGAAGGTTCATCTTTCCTCATATAAAACCCAATCTTTGGTTAATCTAATCTAATCGTGATCAATCTAAACATTAAGTTAACATTCTGAAAAGCCTGGAAATAACGCTGTTTGTTGCATGTTTGGAAATTAAAATTAATTTCGTATTCAAGAGGGGACATTAACTTGCATAGTTTGTGCTAACATTTTGTCTGAAAGACTACAAGATGAAATTGCAGAACAGCAAAGAAACATTGTTTATACCGCGTTTACATTAGAGCGAAAGTTTTCGGAATCATCACGAAACCAGAACGTTTTAGTACCGGATTCATGTTGCCGTTTACACACACACGCAGCGAGGAGTCAGGTAGTAAATCTTCTCGGTTTCGTGCCGTGTCCGGAAACTTTGAATCCGGAAAAGTTTGTGGGAACTTCGTATCCGGAAACATTTGAATCCGGAGAAAACTCTCGTGTATACGGCTTTCCGTGAAGGATCTGAGTGAATCAATTTGTTCCGGTGTATGTTTTTCAAATTTACTGCTATTAAATTCAACCGCCAAACAGGGTCAAAACATCGCATAATATATCACTAAGAGGGTTAAAATTAATTAGTAATACTTTATATTGACCATCGCTGCATGTGGGCGCCGGCTGTGCAGTGTAAACGTCTCACACATCCGTATACGGTACTTGAAAAACAAGGAATCCGGATACTTTTACAAATCCGGAAACTTTTGCTCAAGTGTAAACGTAGTCTAAGATATTACAAATTCTCTGAATTACTTTTATTGAATATATTAATTAGCCTTTCTCACGGCATGCAACCATAGGCATTGTCCATAATTTTTGGCTGTATGCACGGCAGTGTAAAGTAAGGAGTCATCAACCTATTGATACTTACATGTAGCACAAACGATGAACGATTTCAATAGTTCATTGGGTGAGACAGGTGAACGTTAGTTCTACTACAATAATCTACTTTAATAATCTTAATGTCAAAACTCATCTCTTAGATTCATCTAGAATAGTTATTTTGATCACAGTTATTGGAATGGAACACTATTTTTTTGGGATATCATGTTTGATATTGTACTAATATGTCGATTCTAAAATTGTATATAAACTTTCGCAAGAAATTTCTAACTACAAAAACCCATTAAGATACTAATATGGAGACCAGTTTAGAATAGGAAGAGTTGTGCATTATAAACTATAAGTTAAAATGAATCTAGCATGATGTATATACTAATGAATGGAAACGTTTTGAATCATGCAGTGGTCACGTATAATGATCATACCTTACCTATATAAGACAACAACCACTGTTCTTGTACCAATTCATCTATCTCCGCTCTTATTTTATCACCAAGTACAAGCAGAACTGACACACACATCTGAATATCACCCTAAAAAAGACATTTGACAATTGTAATTAAATTTTATATAATTATACAGTCACGTCAAACTGTTTATTTAATTCACCGGCAAATAAAGTTAATGATGAATTATAAATGAAAGACAATAAATTCAATTGTATGTCTCCTCAGATAAATACTCCTGCAGTAATGGCTGTAGTTTCGCTTGCATGCATGGATTGTTTCAATCTTAAACATTTACACTTTTGCCTAAAGGTAGCTCGATACAGTTTTTAAATAATGGAAAATTCACGATTTAGATCCGTATTTTTGTAGAATTATTATTTGTTGAAAAACAAAGAGTATCTTACTGATGTAAAACAACACCTGTAGGGTTTGAATATTACCACAAAAGTTACGCAACTGATGTTGGTATGGCAACAATGACGTTTCAAAATGGCGGATGTTTTGGTTTAGAGTTATTTAACTCGTAAACAACATCGGTGACCCCCAAATTTAATTTCATGAAATGATTTCTTTTAGAATAATTATGTTTATAATTTTAAAGAAATTCTGTTGAGCCAAAATTTTTCGAATTTTCAAAATATTATTATTCATAATACATTTTTTTTACTCAAAAGAATTTTTATAAAATTGTCAAAATAATAGAGTGTACTAAAAGAAATCATTTTATGGAATAAAATTTGGGGATCACTGATGTCGTTTTCGAGTTAAATTACTTTAAAGCCAAAATGTTCGCGAACTTGAAACGTCATTGTTGCCATAGCTATGGCAATCCTCTAGGTGTTGTTTTACATCAGTAACATACTTTTTGTTTTTCAACGAGTAATAATTGTTTAAAAAACTGTATCGAGCCACCCTAAACAGCAGTCTCTGGTGAAAAAATGTGGTATATACTTCGTGTGACCCCTATTATAATGCATCAAGGCTGATCCCTGACCCCCACCCCAACCCCAACCTCTAAACCCGAGTAGTCCATACAACGATTTCACAGTTGGAAAGACAGAAACCATGAATTCTTTTTATAAACAATCACAGTTATTATTCAGCGGCATTTTGTCACACCCTCCACATGCAGCACGCATACCTTGTTGGCATAATACTTCAAGCAATCTTTCACTACGTCTGAACAATCCCATTTTGGAAAGAGCTGAGAATAGAAATGAAACTTTTAATAGCATGCATGTAATTGTTTTAAATATCAGGATTTGGGGCATCCACACTTGACAGAACTAATTGTGGAAGGGTTTAATTCAAGTATAAAATTGCCACTCGAAATTTCCATCCGCAAAATCCTTCTTCAATTAGTTCTATCTAGTGTAGATACCCAAAATCCTGATATTTACCCATAAACACCGTTCATTGGCATCATCTTAGTATTTATACATGAACCTGTGGTTAGAGCTCGACAACTGGCCTCTGTAGCTCAGTTGGTTAGAGTGCTGCACTAGAATCGCAGGTCCGCAGGTTCGATTCCTTCCAGAGGACCTATATAGTTGCATTCTTCGCAACTGCTTCTGGCCAGGTCTAATAAATGTATAAAATTCATATTCGAAATTTCCATCTACAAAACCCTTTAAATTGCTTCAGGTGATTCCACACTGCTTTTATAAAAAAAATTACAGTAAGATATACTATTAGGCGTATATACAGTAGGTAGATGGGAAATTTAAACTGTAGCTTTTGGATACACTATCTATGCAATAAAACGAGCTAGTCTAACCAACTATATATAAAACAAATTTTATAGTATTATTTACCACTGCTTTCGTCTCCTCGTTGTTTGTTATCGTTGAATCGACAAATGAAATCTGTTGGTTATATGCACTAGTGACGTCAGAGTCTATGGGACTACAAAAAGAAATTATGGTGTGTTAGGACCACTCCCCTTATATACGAAGTACATTTATGTTTTTACAAAAAACGAAATATTCCACATGTGGTGTTCTTCTCTGATTAATGCTCGTGTTTTATAGTTGACTTCACATAACTTTATTCCTAATGCTGAGAACTTCGTTCCGGACTTCTTTACGAAATTCAAAAGTTCATACTGACATTTACAAGCCGGTATGTAACAAAAACCTCTGATTGGTCCCTGAACAAAAAGAAGCCAATCAAATGCTTTGTTTACAAACTGGTTTGTGAATATCATTATGAACGTTTGGATTTCGCAACAAATGTCGGTTTGCAACATTCAGGGAAAGTTACGTGAAATCAACTGCAACTGGCACACGACTGCTCATTACAAATGAGCAAACAAAACACATCGTATTGTTGTCTACAGCTACTGGTAATACACATCCATAAATACCAATATTTACACTATATTCACATACTGCTTCGTTTGGGAAGCTCTGTCATTCACACGCGGTGTTTCAAATCAGAATGCATGAATTTCAAATGATAAACAAATGTATGATACACTACATACTCACCTTATTGGGGTATCGGGTCTCTCTTGGTCTGGCTGTAACGATGGCGGTCTATTAAAATATACTGTTTAATTAAAAACTAAATAAAACATAAGTCACTATATAAAGTATTCGACCAGAGTCGAACGCCACTAAGCGTAACCTCTCATCAGGGATAGCTACAATTTGAAATGGTTGTCTCAGATGCACTTTCAAGAATATTTTATTGGTTAAAACAGCAGAAAATTGGGTTATTTTGACTAAATTATATTGGTCATACCCCATGAGACAGCCAATTCAAATTGGAACACATTTTTAAAGCGAGTGCGGACTTCCAGGACTTAGTTCACCAGACGTAGGTACTACTTTTTCACCCAAGCTTCATGCAAAAGGAATATTACAAATTAAAGATATTGAAGGACAAAGCTAAAAATATGGTACCGTACAGAATGAGATCTAGTGCAAGTAATAACTGTACTTCTTAATAATAAGGTTATTCAAACAAACTTACCTATCTTCAATATCTTGTCTAGGCTCAAATGCCTCCTAAACATATGCAATTATATTAAATAATAATGGGCAAAAAGTCTATATTGATGGGAAATTCCAGACATGCTATAGACCGATTCGAAAAATAGTTGTCATTCTTTTTTCTTCCGAAATTAATTTCAACCAAGGTAACCACTACTGCCTTACAGAATAATTCAGACTAACAGTTTTACGAAGTATAGTTAATACCATGTATTCTCTTTCAGAGATTGAATTTTAAAAATACCGAAATTTCATCTAGATTTATAGCAATCCAGCATTACTGCATGGCCTCGTTTTGGTCAGTGCTTTTTGCACATTATAAAGAGCTATAATTTCCCTTCCATGGATTTGCTTTCAATTTTCAACTCTTACAATTTGCCTTAAATAACAGTCTCTGCTGAAAAATTGGTCATTAGCCTGGTAATGAATAAAATATAGAATAATGCAAAATTGTCGTAGCTAGTTTTCGAGTCGGTCAATGTACTATTCCTCGGCATTACATAATCATCACCGAAAACAAGTTATATATTTGGCAGCTGTGTTAATGGCCACTTGTGGCAAAACTTACATTAGCCAACGTGTAATCTTCGAGTTGCATTTCTGCACTAATATCCTGTGAATTAAATTGGAACTCCTGCTCTTCACTGAATACAAAATCTGAAAGGATATTAATAATTCAGCAATCAGCTCTGCCATGATAACAATACACCCTTTCGATAATTACGTCACAACTACACTGTTTTCAACTTAGGATCACCTTAAATGGAAAGGATTTCAAGGGGGTTTTTTTCCACGGGCTATGCACAGAGAAGCAGAACATCCTTCTTTATTTTGACAAATAAATGTGGAAACAAGCTTTAACCCGAAAACGAGGCTCCAGGTCATGACCTGGGTCTCGTTTTCGTGTTAATGCTTATTTCCATATTCGTTGATCAGAATCCAAAATTTTTTTCGCGCCTGTGTTGAAGAAGGATGTTCTGCTTCTCTTTGCATAGCCCATGAGAAAAAAACTTGAAATCCTTTCCATTTAAAGCTGGTCCTAAGTTGAAAACAGTGTAGTTGTGACGTAACTATCGAAAGGGTGTATTAATAAAAGTTTCCTCAAACAGAAATAATCAACATTTGATATTCAATGAAACTTGTATTTAAAAGTTGAGGTAAACCGTTTGCACATGACGTCACAGCCGCCATGTCGGTGTTCCAATTCAAAATAATTCAATTAGACTCTTTTGTCTGGAACACCAGGGGAATGAGTGCAAACGGGGGAATGAGTGCAAACGCTCTATTAAAGGCGCAGTGTCACCTGTTGAGCGATGTGATTTAGTCGACGTGAAACTTGAAAAATTCACAAACTTGAAGTCTCTTCAAGAATATCTCAATCTACGGGCGCTTTCCATTTAATGGCCTGACCGGTCAGATCCGAATTCTTTTCTCTGTATCAATGGAAAGATCTGGTCCATGTTTCTCAAATATCAAGCGAAAATGGACCTCATTCTGATGTTATCTAAATTTTCTGGTCAGATAGGTCGGAAGCTCAAATGTTTTGTGTTCCATTCAACAATTTGACCGTTCTGACCGGTCTGGCCGTGTTAATGGAAAGCGCCCTACGTCACTTCAAGATTCGAAGATATGATATAATTCAAATTGTTACATAGCTAGTGTGAACACGAAACGTGATTGGCTGATTTGTGGTCACGTGGGTTTAGATAATGCAATGTATCCCGCCGGGCAACAAGTGAAAAATTGTTTCTCGCCCCGACAGGCTACGTACATAAATAAACAAAATGGCGGCACAACTCGCAAGTTTATAAACTATGATTTGCCATTTTCCAAGTTTGTGTTAAAATAAAGAATGTAAAAGAGAAGAAAAATACACAACAGGCGACAGATTTTTTGTGATGCATGAAATGCAATTGTTGTAACTATAAAATAGTTAGTTATTGAGACTCACGGGAAAACAAAACTATTTCCCTCTGGAACAGACATTAAGAGTATGATATTGATCTTAATGACGAAATAAACAAACCTTTGTCAGCAAAGAATGTCTCACTCTCTGTAATATCATCACCGCTTGCCGACGAATCATCTACCAAAAATAGAAAAATTGTAAATTCGAACAGCGTGGAAAACGAGCACGAGTTTAAACAATGAATCAGAAAATTCAAAATTTCAGTCGCTATAATTTTAAGCCTGATTTCGTTCTTACAAGTCCATGACCTGAAATCAGACACAAATATATAAGTCGATTATAGTTCAAGTATTATGTTAAATACCTCTTTCTAAATATGTCACAAAAATGATAATGCACGAAATATTTTTTCTTAAAATTAATATAAAAATATTGAAACCCTGGCGAAATTTGTAGAACATCTCTAAAATGTTCAACTCCCAAATCCCAAATTATTAATTCCGATAAAATCATGCATAAAAATCCCAGAAAATGACACAAATCTTAAAATGTCCTCCAAAATTCACAAAATCCATTTCCAAATGCAAAGGTAAAATATACATTTAATCCGCCAAAATTTTACAAAATCCCCAAAACCCTGCATGTGTAGGCGACATTTAAGGAGTTAATTTAAATCTGGTGGAATTATTTTGGACTAAAAGTTATTAACTCGTCCTTGAAATTAACAGTGTTGTTACGGATTTTGAAATCTCAACATTCCTCAGTGAGAATAATACACAACTTAAATGACACACGTCAAGCCTCGCAATTATTGGACACACGCTTAAAAATGGAAAGTTTTCAAAAATAAATGATGATTATCGTACTGTGTTCCAAAAACATAATTTTAGGCCACTTAAAAAAATAGTTAGTAAAATTGTTACTAGGACACCAATATGGTTCTCATTACCTATATCGAAACTTTATAACAAAAATAAACTATTTAACAGAACAAACTTGATACGTTGAAATTTAAAATTTTCGTGAGCCAGTCTAGCAGTCCTTATACAAAAAACCGGATTATCACGTACACTCTTCTCCCTCCCTTTCCAGATGGCAGAAATTTCTTTCGTGGGAGGAGTGTATAGATCGTTCCTGGAATGACCCACTTTGCAAGAACACATACGTTTAAAAACCTGGCGGTCTGGTGGATCGGCTTGGCATCCTGTGACAGTTTTGCAGTGAAACACGATTTCTATTATTCTATTGGCATAAAGTTTCAATTTTGGGAGAACGCATCGCATATAAAGTGAATGTATACATGCGCAGTCTGAAGTCACTGAGAAATTTTAAGATTGCTATGAATTGCAATAATTATTGTAATGTTACAATCTGAATAATGTGACACTAAAAAAGCAAACATACAGTGTGCCTGTAGCAATGATAATAAGTCAAATGTTAATTAAACCACTTTATGATCCTGATCTGATATTTGTTTGCATTTATTGTCTGATATTAGGGGAATAAAAACTTTTATATGCCATATGGCAGCATTTCCCCCTTGCGATAGGCTACCCTATAGTATATTTTATACAATACCAGGTTGTTGATCTGCAGCGGCATCTTTCTTACTCAGTATACTCTGAACTTCCTTATCGTCAGCACTATATGGCGTTTCCACAGCCTGACCTAAAAAATAAAATTTAGTCCGTAGAGACACTTCTCTTATCAGACAAGTCTAAATAGAGGATTTTAACCTCAATCTTTTAACCTGAAAATGTATATGTGTAATATTATGACCTGAACTAGACATCGAATGTCGACTTCCATGTATGTTGGGAATGGCAAATATATTGAATAATTTTATGGAAAAGTAAGAATTTATTAGATTCCCTGTCATTTTGCGGTTAAATTATTGGATATAAAGTGCCAGTGTGAAAGATCATGAAAACCTTTGTTTGAATTACCAGCCACAATGGCAGAAATTAAAGGCGGATTTCCAGTCCTCGCACGAAGCTCCTCGCAGCTCGCTGCGAGTGATGCATAAGCACTTTCATCCAATCACAATTCTAACCCGTTAATTTTAGTTAGATGCAAGCACTCGCAGCGAGCTGCGAGGAGCTTCGTGCGAGGACTGGAAAATCGCCTTAAGCCATGATATTTCTTCGTAAGGAAAATACAAAAGGAATGAATGTTTAATCAATGTTTGTACATCGGATAAAGATTTGTCTTGATTTACATAAACTTCTGCTTTGATTTTCTCGGCCTAGACTATGTTTATTTTTAAAATTACTTCGCCAATGAACTCATAAGCTGGGTCGCTTTTCCTTTATAACTTTATTGGGAATACTAACAATAACGATAAATAGGTGTTTCCCAAAAGGAAAGGTGCAAACGGGTCAGAAAAAGCCCATGCGAGGCACCTCCCTTACAAACTTTACACAAAAAATTACATTACACTATAAATTATAGTTGAGGTAAAGCTCGATTTGCGCATACCCACAGGATCTCCAAATACGTAAAATGCATGAAGATTTTGGAAAATTTGTACGGAAAATAAAACTAACTTGGTTTTGAAAACATGTGACTTAGGCATGTACACGAAACGAACTTTACTTCAATCAAAGAACTATACATTATTTTAGTTTCTGTGACATGGACAGTCTCGAACAAGAGACCAGGTACATGGCATGTCTACGTCAAAAACTGAATTACGTAAAAACGAATAAGTCCAACGAAGAAAGTTCTTAAAAGTAAATAATGTCACGAAGCTATTAGGTGATGCAGTTCTGCACACTACATTCCATAAATGAACTGTTCGATTAAAGTAAGAGTTTTTAAACGTAGTTGTTCTACATAACGGCACTTGAAGTAATAGACTAGGATTTAAGGTTAGTCGAGAACAGTCATGACTAACAAAACTAACATAATTGCCTATGTCTAAGTCTACGTAACCGCAACCGTGCTTTTTAAGCACGTTAAAACATTCGCATCCGATCTTTATCTGATATATTGTACAAACTCTCGCCTTCGGCTCGAGTTTGTATATCAGATAAAGATCGGCTACTCATATTTTAACAAGTACATAAAATGCTGTAAAAATAATGGACAACTTGCATGTTAGACTAAATTTTAATCTAAGTAAAAAGAAGGGAATCAAACACAACAGTTAAAAAGAACATAATGAAATTAGTAAAATTGCAAAATTTGGTTGCGAAATGATGCAAAATACAGAAAATATAGCCTTGCGAAGTTTGCATATTTTTAGTATATTTGTATTACGTGCGGAAATTGTTACCATTATCGGCTGAAACGCATTTTCGCACGTATAATACAAACATACTGAAAATATGCAAACTTCGCAAGGCTATATTTTCAGTATTTTACAACATTTCGTAACCAAAGTTTGCAATTTTACTGATTCTAATAAGTTCTTTACGCGGGAATTTACTTTTTTTGGCCTAAATAAAAAATTAGTGTAACATGCAAGTTGTCTATTGATTTGGATTTGACATGTATAGATAGTCATACTTACTGTTTGGGGTGGCTGCTTCTGGTGTGGCGGGAGAACAATTATTTTGCACGGCTTTGCTAAGGTTTGAAGGACTTGATGGCATTAACTCAGAAAAATTACACGAGTACATGACCTTGATTATATTCCACGTCTGCGCCTCGTGACGAAGGCCAAGCTTACTACATTGCTAAAAAAGAAAATAAATTTTCTACCTTCTCATTTACTACAAATGCCAAACAACAGTTTGGCATTGTCTATTATATATACAGTAGTTCCCCCCTATATAGCGCCCCGAAACAAAAAGAACGCGATGTTTCAGTATAGGATACTGTCGAAGTGGAAAACAGATTTCGACTGCAAAAATATTCCGTCCAACTCGGCAACTGAGTGTCAGGAAAACAACATCCTAAGACGCATACATGTATAGAGTTGTAACACAGGGTATTTTATATTGCGATGTTTCACAAGTAAAGCACAATTGATGATCCTGGCAACAGTATATAGTGAAATGTTATCTGTAGCGAAAATCCTTCAACATTTGCCGAGTGGAGTGACACGCCCAAAACGACAGACTCTGTAGCTCAGTTGCATGATTTCTCGCAGCTGTTCCTGGTTACATCTAAAAAACATTTACATTTGAAATTTCCATCTAAATAATCCTTCAACATTTGTTCAATGCGTGAGATGCCCAAATAACAAAAAAATCTATGAACGCAATATATTAATTATAGTAGAAGATGTGTAAGGCTATCTTATACCTTAGAATTGTGGTCGCACAGTTCACCAAAAGGTCGTCCACTAAGAAGATAATTTTTCGCCAATATCTTAAAACGCTCTAAATCCTGGAAATATTGAGAGTGAAAGATATTGTATGGAATAACTTCACAGCCGTCGCTCTGCGCGGACGAGACAAGGGAACATTTTTGTACATGCGTTGTAGCTGTACAGTTTGACAATTTTCAGTCTGCTTTGAGAGTTTAAACTACACACGTAAAAACGCGCAAGTTGTTACAGGTCTCCAAACAAGTTGTTACAAATCTGTTCACAAGCTGTCGACAGGTTGTGTTCGCACTGCTTATTCCTACTTGTTGTAACAAGTTTGGAACAAGCTGTTAACAACTTGTAACAAGTTTGATGGCATTATCAGACTAGTTACAAGGTCGTTCTAACAAGTCTGATACAGTCATGATATGACAAAATGTTACAATGTTGATAGCCCGCGTGCAGGCCCAAGGGAAGAATAGTGGGCCTGCAAGCAAGGCCCGGTATTTTGTAAAACGCCCCTTTTTCATAACACGCCCCATTCGCGCGTCAATTGTCAAAAAAGAACCAATGACAGCAACCCAAATATTAACAACAAACTTGCATTAAAATGTAGCGGGGTTTTCTCTGCTTATTCAGAACAGAAACAATGTGTAAATGGCTGCATTTTAACTAAAAAAACAACAAGGAACACAGTCAGTAATTGCCAAACTTGCAAGTGCTCATTTTCAACTAAAATCGGAACAGGCAAATTAGGACGAATTTCAACAGAAAACCAGTCTCAAACTTCAAATCGTGAGGGAAGTCGTACGAGTGCTTTGCTGCCGCCATTGTTATAAATAAATCGTCTCACTTATCAGATCGTGTCTGCAATTCTTGTTGGCGGCGGAAAAGTACGAAATTTATTTCAGTTATTTCATTTGGTAAAGAACTGTACAAAAGAAGAGAGCGTTCAGAGCGTCCAGATCGTTTCGTTTCAAACGGCAATTACCGTATTCTGTTTCGCTCTCTCAGCGAAGCCTTGCAAATCGCAAAGTGTTTCGAATAGGCTTACATGCAACTGCCTCTAAATCTTCACCGCGAAAAGCGCTGTATTCTTCAGTGCAAGAACAGAGTCAACATCAACCAAAAGGTAATTTTCTTGAGGAACATATAACGTATCAAATCTGTTTGAAATTAATGAAACTCAAGTGTAGGTTACTATAGTTTACTCCAGTCGTAATGTTGCTATTCCCAACACTTCACGACAAGCAATCTCCAATGACATAACGGCAAAAACATCTCTTCCTTCAAGTAAACAATAAACAGTCTGTTCTTGTTCCATTTTTAATCGAAAAAGGTGATCAATTTTCGAATTTTAAGCTTATCGAGAGCATTTGTGATGAATCACTGATCTAATTATAGAATACAACAGCAAACAGCCAATCAGAATGCTGCGTTCGTGGGCGAACGCGGAAAGTACAAAATACCGGGCCTTGCTTGCAGGCCCACTATTCTTCCCTTGGGCCTGCACGCGGGCTACAATGTTGACGACACAAGGTTGTAACAATATTGTTATATCATGACTGTATCAGACTTGTTCCAAACCTTGGAACAAGTCTGATAATATCAACAAAGTTGTTATAAGTTGTTAACAGCTTGTTCCACACGTGTTGACAACTTGGGACAAGCAGTGCGAAAACAACTTGTTGACGGCTTGTTGGCAGACTTGCTACACGATATGAGATTTTACGCGTGTACATTGAACATTCTACTTTCCTGACGTACACGCGCGTGATTTGTATACTAGGTCCTTTGTCCCGCGCGGGCGAACCCGCAGTAATGGAGAATGGCCTCAAACCCCTTGGAGTGTACCCGTATTCCCTTCAGTATTTCTATTGTTCGTGCTAGCTGCCCGCAGGAACCGCTACGAAAATGTTCTGATATCAAACTAATAACGATGTCTATAAATGCCGTTCTCCACTTCAACCGTATATAGTACCGAAGCGCATTTCTTTATTGGTTGAGCACTAGAGTGGAACCACCGTTTGTGGAACTAATAATTTCAACACAAAAGAAAATGCTACATACGATACGATTGAATTGGAAAACGGCCTTAAAGTTTCTATAACATGAAACAGTATGATATTCTTGTTTTGTCATTTGAGTGGCAAAACCTGCGCAACCCAGGCACGATGACCCATTCCTGAGATACTTGCGGAGGCTATAAGCATTAGTTATACAGACTGCATGGTTTAAATATTCTATTATGTGCATCTTAATAGACCTTCTTGTCCTCATTTCTAGCTTTGACTGAAATTGAATAAATTTTTTAACTCAACGAGGCCGAGTAGGCGTATTAAGATGCACATACAAGAATATCTAAAAACTATAGTTTCATATTATTAGTTTCATTTTTCATATCTCTGAGCATGGTACTGAAATAGAACATTTAATGCTGGAGTGTGGACCCCTTTGAAATATGTGATGTCGGGCACATCACATATTTCAAAGGGGGCCACACTCCAGCATAACTATTACTTAAAATTGTTATTCTTATCATTTCATATACATGTATTTATTAGATTACCCAAACGATGTTGATGTGGATATACAATAGTATTATTTAACAATAGCCATATTACTAGATTGAAATCTGACCATAACTTACATTCAGGCTGTCAGCAGTGAAACTATACATCGTGCTAGTCACTGGAGTGACGTCATCGACCTTGACTGGCTGAATTCGCATTGTACCCAGTGAAGCGGTCAAATGCGCATTAAATTTCCTGAAATGAAAACGAGAATTATAATAAGTCAGAGGATAATACAGTATACATTTAAAAGACTATTGAAGCGAAGCTTATGACGCTTAATGAAAACATAATACCGTAAAAGTTAGAGCGCCCTATCGGAATCGCAGGGCCGCAAGTTCGATTCCTGCCAGAGGTCATATTATTGCATTTTTCGCAACTGCTCCTAGTTAGGTCTTATAATTGTAGACAAAAATTTCATCACAGCTTGAAAGAGCAACACCAAATTAGTAATATTCCAAAGTTTCGTTGCGAAATGTTGTAAAATGCGGATAATATAGCCTTGCGAAATTTGCAATTTTCAGTCATTTTGTATTACAAACGGG